AGCGCGAGCAGATTGCCTCCATCGGATAATGGACCCAAAAAACAGGAGAATAGAGTTATGGTTCACGAACAACTAATGTCGTCATAACAGAAGACATTCGGTGTTGTCCATCACGAAGTCCGAAGCAGGGCGTCGAGCTCAGTGCGAACTATGTGGTCGTGGGCTTGCACGTTGTTTGACGGCGCCAGGGCTACGGTAGCCCGTCGGTTGCGTACTAGTGTTAAATTCATTACGTGTTCGGGATTGATCTTCTATGTTGACTTGCAAGTGGCGCCTTCCTTACTCAGCAGTTAAAGCACAAGATATATCGACCCAAAATTTCCCATTGTCCAACGCTAGGGCTTCAAAAATATGAAGCCTTCGGGGGAAATTCAAATCTTGCAAGTGTTTCGCCTCCTGATCCAATTTATTGGTGCCTACCTTTCAGAATCGTGACGGCGACGACGCCAGGATACAATGGAAACCTGGTGATGTGCCGAATGGACGCCGGAGACTTCGATCCGAAGCATCCTTGCAATCCACGGAGTCCATCTGATTTTTACTACTGGGAAACGAATTACGATGACGGCACAGATGATCGCGATTCAAACTCTTCATTCTATACCAAGGACGGAAAATCAACACAGTTTGCCGTAAATTACGTGTACAAGCCCGTGAAGCCGGGGAGGTAAGCTCTTTACTTTATTATTAGCTTGGCATGCAGACTGAGATCGGGCACGTCCTCCTTAACGATTACCTTATGTTCTTCATACATTTTTGATTGAGGCACTCACTCGCAAATAGGATGACGACATCTAATATGCAATCACTGTAGAGGGGGAGGGGCTCCATTGAATAGCTCAGAGCGGCGCAGACGCGAGTCCGTGTGGGTGGTGTCACTCTGATCTGATAGAGGTAGCGAGGGACGTGCAACGCGACAGCGCTGGTGCATATACCCTTAAGGAGGATTTCACGATAAGGTTAGAAGTCGAAGAAGGGGAAACTCACCTAGTGAAAATACAAAACCCATGGAACGACACGCAGTTCGCAGCGAAGGATATGCCCCGGCGATCTAGCATGGCCTCCCGCGGCGCTATCGGCGCGGCACGCCCACCGACTGGCTAACCACTCGCCGCAGGTCTCTAGCCGTTTAGCAGAGAGAGCGTTAGCGTTGAAGAGGGCAGCACCGATGAGAGTCGCATCAATGCGGAAATCAACGGGCAAGGAAGGGGCCATTTTTCGGGTTCTGGGCCGTTTCTCATGGTTTTTTTTCTTCATCCCGGCACCACTGACCACCTCTACCTTGATCCTAATGAAATGCCTTCCAGTCGTAAATTCCGCCTTCATTATTGCATTACTTATGTACCGTATCGTGCTCTAGCTTTATTGTGCAGTGAGTAGTACTATAAGGACGGAGAATGAACTTACCTAAATCAAATCCCACTTAATTGAGCACTCCTGAGGGTTTCACATGACCAAATTGATTTCTTCTGCTTCAAAGCTACTAGTATCTAAGTAGACCAGTGGCTACTTGACATACCCCCTTAAAAATGCCAAGGAAGGTGGTTCGTCATGCGCTCACTCATCCGAATAGCGCGGTCTGTGCCTTCCCCACCAACAAAACTTGGGCTAGCGCCCTTGTAGCTCACCTCGAGGGGAGGCGATCATGTGAAGCGATCGCTTCATATGACCTCCTCCCTCGACGTGGGCCCAATAGTGATCAAAAGGAGCGTCCGGCCCATCAACTAACTAGAGTTCAACAATTGATCTATCTGATAATTTGGGTCTCGCAAAAATCTCGTTGAGTCCCAAAAATCAGAAAAAAAAAGAGCGGATGGCTCCTGCTGGCTTGATATCAAGGCAAGAGGAACGGAATGTGTTGTGCGGACGAGTACCGGCCATAGCAGGGATGTCAGGTAATTACGGCCTGCACTCCAATGCAATGGGATACGCGGCATATTGGACGCAACCCGAGTCGCGGGCCATTCTCTGCATTCCCCGTATAATTCACAGATTATTTCTTGCCTAGCAGTGTTCGAAGCTGAAAGCATAGGTATGCTATCTACTGTCGGTGGTTCTAGCCTTTCGCGGGTAGAGTTCATGGCCAGCAGAGTTCAAGTATTCAACTAACCGTTTGTCGTTTGGTAGCGCTTGGTTATGTAGTTGTCGGTATCAGTATGACGACGCTCGTATCCGCGTCACCGGTGAGCATTCCTCTCCCCCTCTCCCACTACATAAGGGGTGCTGCAAGCGACTAACGAAAAGCGCAATACCTGTCAATAACGACCGGCATGTAATGTGACTTTGGGTTTTTTTTGGCAATTGTTACTATTATTCATACTGGTTCACCACTACATATGTCCTTTTGTCCTCAGGTAGGCAAACCCGACTTTGGAGTTGCTAATAAAATGCTTCTAAATCTATCTCACTTTCCTTAATCGGGAGTTTTGTTCCAAACTCTTTTGGTTCCATCCTGGTTTTCCAAATTTTAATTGCCACTGTATTCTTTCAGATGGGCCACATATACTATCTTGACGTCCACTCCCAAAATGTTGGCTTTAAAACCCCACCCAAGACGAATATCACGGTCACAGCCACGGGAATCTGGATGGAAGTCCACGAACAAGGAGCCGTCTATGTTCTTGCATTGACCGGCACAAAGGTACCATATTTCAAGATATTTTTATCCTAACAAAGGTAAAAAGCGGAACCGATAGCCATTTGAATAAATTCCAGGATAAACCAGTCAAGCATATTAACCAAGTGGTGCAATCTAACTCAGTGTCTATACTTTGGGCAAATTCCACAAATCGTCATTATTACTGCGGCAGAAATTCTTTTCTCTATTACTGGTTATGAGTTCGCCTATTCCCAGGTCAGTTTATGTTGCTTCTTTCAACATTTGATCACTGAGTAGTTGGATATATCAATTATAAGAAATGAGTTTTTTTTTTAGCTTTGCCTAACTATTTTTCATTTATTTTTGTAAAGCTAGCTGGTCGCGATAAAGAATAAGTCGATTGAAATAATTAACACACTGCGTTCCGCGTGCGCCACTATGAATTCACACGACGAGAGATTCTTTTTGGTGATTGATGCAGTATTTTCACATGTGGAGGACTGAGTCACACTCGTTTCGATCCTAAACAAATATTGAGATTCGACTTGATGTTAAATAGTGTCGATAGCTTAAAGGAATCTTCCACGGACCATGGACCAGTGGGCGGGACCGGAAGTTTTTGTGACGAAATGCATGGTAGGTACGGATCCACGTGTCGAACGCACGAACGTGAACAGGATTCACTTCAAACCTTCCCATGAACGTGGATCCGTACCTACCATGCATTTCGTCGCAAAACCACTTCCGGTCCCGCCCACTGGTCCATGGTCCGTGGAAGATTCCTTTAATGATTATTTATTTTCAGAAAGAATTCAAAAAAGATGGAAGAATATTCTTACAGTAGCGGTTCCATTATGTGTTGAAAACACTCAGCGCAGGGTCAACGTCGTCGAAGAGAGGTCGTTCGGCCGCCTCGAAAAGCTTGAGTCTGTATTGCAACACGTCGGAGGCAGCGCCAATCCTTATTATGCGCAACGGAGGGGGCGTAGCTGTGATCGCCTTACGCTTTTTCACAGTATATAAAAAAATTTGCAAAATGCAAGGAGGGTCAGATAGTATGGAGACAAGCTAATCTATCGGTTATAAAGCATTCTTTACTGTTTCCATGAGACTTTACCTATAGGCTTAAATATTTATGGCCTGGACACGAATATGACATTCATTTTTGGATAGGAAGTCATCTGGCGCCAGTTCGGCTTAGCCAACTTTCTTTTTTGCAACATTCTTGCCAATTTTAATCGCTAATCGAAAAGTTAGCGGGCCAGTTTTGTTCTCTATATTTGTTACTAGTATTTTTGACTCTTTCGATTTATCAAGGCATCCATGGTTCCATGAAAAAAGCATTCCCTAGTTGAAAATTCGTCTACTGCCCCCGCAATTCATTGTAGTGTGACATGGCACTACGATTCTGAGTGCACGTAGGACGTGTGTCTCAACTGTTAATGGATCAAAACCGGTACACAAATAAAAGGCTTTTAAAAGATTCGTCAACAGGCTCATAAATTTCCGTGCAATTCCATTTTAGTAAGATTGCGATGCTGTTATTGTTTTTCTATGGGATTTTCGTAAATTGTTGCACAGCTCGAATAAATTGGATAAAATAATCGAATAAATAATACTAATTGGAATAAATAAACACCATATGTTCTACCCTTTCACTCTCTTATTCTTATTTCATCACGAATTAAAATCAAACTTTGAATCACTAAAATAACTTCAAGATTTATAAATGTACATGATTTCAGTCTGCACCTTCTATGAAGGCCTTAGTTCAAGCTCTCTGGCTACTCACGACTGCAGTAGGCGACTCTATCATCGTTCTGATCACAGCTCTCAACCTGTTCTCGAATATGGCGACCGAATTCTTTGCATACGCCGGTGAGTTCTGAGCAGTGCTGGAAACTAAATTCTCTCTTATTTACTATTGAATATAAAGGGGAGGCAAGAAATGAAGAAAAGCTTCACTCATGGCGCTCATTAGCAAATTTCACCCCTTATATGAAGGAAGACGAGGAAGAAGGAGGTCCTACTGCAAAACAGTCCCGAGAGTCTCTCGACAAGCAGAAATTAATTTCTTCCCAATATCCCTTTTTATTTCATGGCCTTTGAAATAAAAGTCATTTGCCATCGCCGAATAACTGAAAAAGAACAACCTAAAAGTGGAGTTACACGATGAAAATTCATTTCTTTTTTCATGCAAGAGGCAATTATTTGACGAAGAATTTCACGATAAGGTCGAATGTCGAAGAAAGGGAAACTCATCTGGTGTGAGGAGAAGCGGACCCCCTCCAAGGGTGCGGACCGACACGCAATTCGCAGCGAAGGATATGCCCGGCGATAGCATGGCCCTTCCCCGTGGCGCTATCGGCGCGGTACGCCTCCCTCTCGCTGTCTGACCCTCTAGCCGTTTAGCAGAGAGAGCGTTAGCGTTGAAGAGGGTGGCATTGATGAGAGTCGCGTCATCACGGAAAGGCAAGGAAGCGGTCCATTTCTCAGGTTCTGGGCCGTTTCTCATTGTTTTTTCTTCATACCTGCACCACTGGCCACCCATAGTCCTTATTTCTAATTAGCTGCTTTTTCGTCGTACAATTCGCCTTTAATACACGAATTCGAGTTCTGTTTTAACTTAGTCTAGTCACCTTTCTCTCCTGTTATTCAACGATTAATCCGCTTCAGGAGCTATGTTCGTCGTTATTTCTATATTCGCATTGATGTCGATCTTCTACTACGAATACAACTACTATACGCAAGAAAAGTCCGAAACACAGTCAGACGATGGCGGAGTGATAGTGAAGCCCTCTATGTTGGACGATGCAGCACACAGATTGAGAGTAGGTTTTCTACGGTTTATTTGATGGTATCAGCACGGACGCCTGGTTTAAGGTTGACGGGAAAGCACGTGTAGTAACGAGATGGATTTCCGGGCAGTCCCATACATTCCGTGCTCCGTTAACCTAAAGTATCTTGAAGCGGTTGTGTTGAGCGCATTTGAGGTGATCCAGACGTATCATAATTGTTTTGATTACAGTCCTTCTCGATTGATCCTCATGACGGAGAATATGCTTGGGCAGTGGAGGCACGGTTAGACGACTACATTCCGGATGAGAGGTTCTAGTAACCCAGACTGTATATGTTGAAAATGAAAATAGATTTCTATTAATAAGCATTTTGTGCTACGGCACTCTGTGTACGTTACACGGAGGTGGTATTGCTTCCCTGGGGGGGGGGGGGGGGGGCGGGGGGGGGGGGGGGGGCGGCACTCTGTGTACGTTACAGACATTGAATAAATATCACTTATTTGTACGATCTTACCATTCAGAACCAGAACTAATAATTTCGACCGTCAAGGCTGCGGGAGAAACTTCTTAAACATCTTTTAACCCTTTGACGACAATGCGGATTTGCACGTAGCGTGCATGTGGGACCACCCCTTTTGGGCGGCCAAATCTGCCAGTGGGGGGGGGGGGGGGGGTAAAATTGTCCCTAAAAGCAGTTTTTCTATCAAAATTTTGACTATGACAGTAAACAAATATATGACTGCAGTCTTAAGCTTTATGATCATGTATTGTTGGAATTAAGTGGAAGTTTGGAAAGAAATCTCGGATTTCAAAGGGATGGTGTTTGAAAACTCTAGATGGTTCAAAGTGTTACATGTAAATTGTTGATTATAGTTCCAAATTCCTCCTTGTGTCTCAAGACTGTGAAAAGACGTAGGGGTCCTGATCTGTAATTCACCTTAAGCTTAATAATGTAAAACACTAATTAATACATCGCCGAGCGAAGTGCCATATCCTAAAATTTCATATAAATTAGCTAGTAACAAACATTTCTGCAAAATATGCTAAACATAGGCGTAACGGAGCTTGCTTATAATTACTGATATGTTGAAAATGTTTTAAATGGGTAAGAAGAAAATTTTAGGGTGGCCCACCATTGGGTGCCATTGTCCCACGCGACGGTCATAGTGGCACCCACCGGTGGGTGCCATTGTCGCCAAAGGGTTAAATTAAGTGGCACATTATTTAGTGATATCTATTTCAGCCATAAAGCAATTCCACCTTTGCTATTAGTATGATCTCTCTGATATTTGGCATACCTGCGTTCTGCATTTTGCTCTTTTCAATTACCACACTGATAACTTGCAAGGTAGCGACGGTAGCCTCACGTATGAAGGCTTTACATGCAATTGATCATTAATGCATAACATATCATGTATTAAAGCGAGGGATTACGATAAGATTGGACTGGGTTCATAGTGGAAGTGGAGATGCTGAATAATGCCCCAGTGGCGAAAAAAGCAAAGAAATCCGTCAAGAACGCGCAAAATGGGACCCCTTTCTTTGCCCGTTGACCTCCGATAATGGACGAGCTAGCAACCAACTAAGAGGTCGGTTAACCGATAACCACCATCATACCAGAAGGCCATGCTTTGATTGGTAACGCGTTCCATGGGAAAGTTATAGGATACGCACTCGAAGCGGAATACCTCATCAAAATGATAATCGAAGGCGCTGCTGCTGGGGGCGGAGCACAGGCGTGGCGGAGCTCAGAAAGGAATGGCAAGCCCACGCTGCAACTAGCGCACCTTTGGCCACAAAAACGCCACATTTCGCTTCCTTGGGCCCCTGACTACTGCTTCCACTGGTGCATGTACTTCCACGCTGCACACACACTTTATCGTAATCTCTCGCTTTAAGGATCAATTGAATTAAATCCTTAACACGACTTTTGGGAACCTCAAACTGACTGCAAAATCGTCTGGAAGCATAAGTATAAGTGCTGCCTCAAAGGAAGCGATTACGATAAAGAGGGAGCGCATCGGGAAAGCATATGCACCACACGAAGCAGTTACTTGGCTGCCAAGGGAGCGAGGTGTGGCGTTTATACGACGAAAGGTGTGCTGGTTGCTGAATTTGCTGAATAATATTAAGTGTACCGCCTCAAAAGCGCTCCACTCACTAGATTGAGTGCGGGACTTTTGGCTCGTCCGGGCTGGTACGCGGCGGCACGCGCGGCGATCTGGACGAGACAAGGCTTCGCGGGTTCTTCGGGTAGAATTCAACACGTCAATGCGTGTGCAGATTGCGGATAAACTCCGCATGGTTCTGCTGTTTGAAAATCTTTCCGCTCGCGGGATTGGAAGCAGCAGTATCGGTGAGGAGATTTCAGCGCAAGGAGATGAGTGAGGACCTTCATGTAAATGTCACTACTACCATCAAAGCAAATAAGAGTCACTAAAATTGGGAGTTTTTGTTGAGGTATTTAATGTCAACTATATATGTTTTGCTGATCGAGGCGCTCACGTCCAAAGGAGAAACATTTCGAAACAAAACAACAAAACAGGGTCGATGGTAGGTGACACTAGGACTAAGCCCAGCAGAGGGAGGAACGCCAGGGAGAACACAAATTACTTCCCCCAGAATCCCTTCTCCTCCCTAAGTCTCGGTCCAAACACAGTAATTGGCTCACTCACCTCCCCCCAACAACATGATGAGCGCCCTGATTGCCATAACAGCACTATGCTAGTTCCTTCTCATCTCTTCCTACTGTTACAACCACCGCTGTCCTCAAAATTCCAGCCGTTCAGATGTATTTCGAATTGCAGAACCTTGCGGATTTTATCCGCAATCTTCACACGTTGACGTGTTGAATTCCCGCGATGCGTCGGGATCGCCGCGCCGCTCGCCGCGCAATTTGCCGCGTGCCAGCCCGGACGAGCCAAAAGTCCGTCGCCCCACTAGTTTAGTCTGTGATTTGGGCGAGCTGTGTTGCCAGCAGCGGTACAACTGAAGCAATTCGACTCTGGCATGTGCCACCTAACGCGTTGTGATGAACTCATTCACACATCCACTGTCTGAGCGTTGCCTGTTCATGAACGAAGATCATCGCAAAGAAGGTCTCGTTTTGCGTTTCTTGAGGGATTTCTATGTGTTTTTCTTTCATTTCCCACCATTGAGCCTAAACCCTGGAATCTCTCGTAATCACTGCCTTCACTGCGGCGCTAAGCTATTGCTGAGGATAATTTGAGTTCGAATACCTTTGGATAGAAGAACAGAAAACTTGACCTGTGAGTACGATAAAGTAGTGTGCAAAAGAGAAGTGTACGTACTTGTCATGACGTTTCGTCATGATACAAACAGTGCCTCAAGATGGATCCCGCACGCCACCAATCGATTAGATAACTGAAAACTTGCGTTCAAGTTGCCGCTTACAGAATTGCCAGTCCATTTCAACTAGAAATTCCAACCGACCGCGCAATGGCTTGGTATCAATACCACCCGATTTTTGAGGTATAAACACTGCAGTCTGAGGCTCCGAGCCAGTCTTCGTCTCCAGTGGTCTCCAGTAGGGTGAAAATCGTGTCGAGGACGTGGTCAGATCAGTACGACCCCCCCCCTCAGATCGGGATCTTGATACGACCCCTCTAACTTTGATTTGATGTGAATAAGCGAGTTCCATCAATGTACAGCAAAGCATTCAGTTGCAGCGCGGTTTATCCGTGGGTCAGATTTGCCGAAACCCCGCTCGAAACCGTCGAAATCTACACTCTCGATGAAAAGGTTCCATTCCCCCATTTCATAACCTTTGGAGCAGTATGTGGTAGGGTTAGATAGAGCTGGATTTGCTACTACCGGGCAATATTGAAATTGATCTAAAAGCTTTACACTCGAAGAGATAGGGTCTCTCAAATTTTGTCGAGGGAGCGTCGAGGATGCGAATTTTCATGCGAGTTTTTGCCACTTAAAAGGCAATATCTCTCTAATTTCGCAAGATCTTAAAAAGCGAAGACAGTTTTGGAAAGCGGAAGGTTTGCGCTTTCTAACAGTATGTTTAGCTTCCTTCTACATTTCTAGTTGAGGAGATTTGCGTCGAGGATCTATCGAGGATGATTCTCGGCCGCTCAAAAAGCCGCTCCCTTCTTCACCATTGCAAGTGTAATTCGTTGGCAACGCTCGAAATGTGTCTAGAATAATCTCCAACATAAGCGACAAGAAAAGGGGCAATCGTCATCGTCCGATCTCGTCTCAGTATAGGCCATGCATCCGACCTCCACTCAAGTTGTAGAATCTATTGAAAGGTGTTACACATATGATGATGACCTGTTGACAGAAACTTGTAGTAAACACCCGTAACCTAAGGAACAGCTTCATTCGCCCATGGTCTTTCCAGAACTCTTGCCGGTTTGCGACAGCTCCCTAACAACTGCCTCATTTTCAACGAGGTATTAAGGGCGAGAGAGCGGGCCTAGATAAAGGAGGTGCCTCTACAGCACGTGTACACATTGCGGAGATGCACTTTCATTCCTTGTACTGCTTTCAAATACGTCCTTCTCATAAAGGTAAAGGAATGGAGCGACTGGACCTGCAAAGAATATTTTATCTCATGTTTTCTCACATATCCTTATTTTCTGCTGCGCTACACCCTCTCCTATCTGACGTTACTGACCCCAATGAGTACGACCCCACATGACCCACTCTGACAAATACGACCCCTCCTGTCGAGGATTTCCTCGACGATATTCACCTTGGTCTCCAGATCTTCTCTTCTCAGCGAGTAGCTCTGTTCCTTTGCAGATATACTAATGGCGACAGCACCAGCGAACAAGCGACTCCGGCCGCCACGCAAATAACCTAATAGGCACAGTGCAGGATCAAGACAGAAGAAGAGTAAGACAATGTCGGTGGACTCGCCACAATCCAATGTCCACCAACCAATACTACTAGCCACTATCCAGCAGATACCCAGAGTCACAAATCAACACCCAATAGCATATAAACTCAAGACGCGTCCAAAACAAGGCTAGCGATGCACAAGGCTAATGAAGTGGAATCGAGCATAAAAGATTTATTAGTCATGGCGACAGAATACAACGACAATCAAGTGAAAGTGTCAAGTTTATATAGCAGCTGACCTGGTCAAATATCCTGGTAAAATAGTATATAATATATGTGATAGCAGCAGAAAATAAACCTAGAATTTGGCGAACAATAGGTGGTCTGTAATCTTGACTATGGTAGACTACCCATAGAAAAGAATATGACTTCTTCCTTGGGTCCACCGTGAGTCGGCGCGTTGGATGCGGCGAACCTTGAAGTCGCGACGTCGACGACGGAGTTGAATGTGATGCGGCTTTGTTGTCCTGGGTCGTTAAATCGAGGCTCACTTGGCGTCGTACTGTTCACCAACGTCGCTTGATCGGTGATGGCAGTCGCTTATGTAGTGGAAGGAGGTCGAATACATCCAGTAGCTGATTGATTGGAGTGAGGCCTCAGTTGGTTGGCGTGCCGTCTTCATAGTAGTTTCCCACAGCATAAGAGATACATCACGCTCCCGAGGCGACCTGCAATGAAACCAGGTGCCCAAGCGATTTTTGCTGCGCTATAGTCCCTGGCGTATACTGCATCGCCCACGTCGAAGTGGCGACGTTTGGCTCCATGATGTCTGTTGAACTGATCCTCCATTTTGGTGTCGCGACGTTCCACGTTGTCCTCGGAGGATGGCATCATCAGGTCCAGTTCAGTACTAATTCTGATTCCCAGATAATTTTTAGCGGGCAACAGGTGATTGGGTGGGCAGGGTGTCGACCGGGAAGCTTGAGGTGCGTTCGTTGCTGGTTCCTCCCTCTTCAATTTGGCCAAACCTCTTTGAACGTATCCACGAAACGCTCTGCTTGACCGTTGCTTTGTGGATGAAAAGGAGGAGAGCGGACGTGTTTGATTCCACGACGGCGGCAGAAATCCACGAACGTTGTCGAAGTGAACTGCGTGCCATTGTCCGTGATGAGCGTCTGTGGATTCCCCAACTGTGCGAAGACTTTGTCAAAACTTTGATTGTTGCCGACGTGGTGATTGAATTCATCTGGATGATCTCGGGCCACTTCGAGTATGCATCCACGATGACGAGGTAGAATTTTCCGTCGAGAGGTCCTGCGAAGTCAGCATGCACTCGAGCCCATGGAATGAACAGTGTTAGTCAGGATTGCAGCTCGGCCTTCACAGGGCTCTTGGACATGTTGTGCACGCATAGTACAGTTCCTGACAAGGCTGTCTATATCTACATTCATCGACGGCCAGCATACATAGCTATGTCGTATTAAGCACCTTTAAAGGACTTCGAGATCACGAGATGACTTGAAGTCAGCAGGCATGAGGCAGTAGTGGATAGTGACTCTTGCCAATTGTAGTACAGCCTAGTGGTGAGTCACGGTTCACTTTCGGCCAGCATCCCGATCGAATGTATTCAATCACTTGAGTCAGAGTACGGTCAGCAGTGGTAGCAGCCTGGTTAGACCTGAATGACTCCGGTAGGTGGCTGCAATTGCCCACCACTTTGGCTATGACATCAGCGTCAACGCAAGCAATGATTTTGTCTTGGTTCCAGTGAGTTGGACTCATTGGATGTGAAAGGGCGTCGGCTTGTCTAATTTCGCTCGTCTTGACGTACTGAATGCTGATGTTGTAGTTTAGCAGCGTAGTTGAATACCGTTTAAAGCGATTGGATAGATTGGAACTCATTTTGACTCCCGAAGATAGCTATGAGCGGTTCGTGGTCCTCCTTAGCGTAAGTGACGTCCATGTACGAAGCGAATAAATTTTTGGACTGCAAAAACGATGGCGAGGGCCTCCTTCTCGATCTGGCTGTACTTCTTCTGTGCTGGTGTCAAGGCGCGACTAGCATGGTATACAGCCTTTCCGGATTAGCCAAAAAAATCTTTGCGAGAGTACAGCTCCAACTCAAATCTGCAGCGACGATAAGCGGGAGATTAGGATCGTAGAGCGCGAGAAGAAGGGCGAATTCCAGTGTCTTCTCGATCCGCTCGAAGCGAAACTGACATTCTGGTGACTATGTATAGAGGGCATACCTTTTTGGTGAGCGCATCCAGTGGAGCACTCAGACTGTCCAGTTTACCGGCAAAGGCTCCACAGAAGTTGACCAAGCCGAGGAAGGTTCCGAGTGGGCTGGCGTCCTTGGTTCACGGCATTCTGTGGATTGCTTCGATCTGGGCCGGGTCTGGATTGTCGTCCGTCGGCATTGATTACGAAATCGAGGTAAAGAGTCCCGGTGTACCAAAGCGAACACTTTTCCAGGCGAAGGCGAAGCGATGAATCCTTTGGTACGCTTCCGGATAGGCGTTGTGCTTATCAATAATCATCGTCGAGGTACGCAGAAGTACCATCCAATCCAATAGTAAAGGTGTCCACTTGCTGCTAGAAGATTGCCGGTCGGCGTTCACTTGAGAAGGTAGCCCGGTTGAGGCGATAGAGACCGCGATGAGTGTTGGTTCTCAGCATGCCGAGATTCCTCATCCATTTCCATCTGCAGGTACGCTTCGGCTAAGTCCGGCTGGAAGAAGTACCTCTGAGCTAGAGCTTGGCAAAGATATCGTCTGGAGTTGGAATTCAGGCGGAGTCATTCATTCAAGGCTATAAAGGTCTGCGCAAATACGGATCTTGTTCTTCTTCTGAACGAGGACTACTGGAGCAGCCCACTTGGAGTGCTAGACTGGTGTAGGTTCGTGTGCTGTGCACCTGCCAATGTCGATTTCTTTTGGTGATCCGAGGCTGAACAGCGTATGGTACGGGACAAGCTCCGGGTAATAGAAATCGTATCCGGCTTCAGGCTTTGAAGAGGCCTTCGATTTAGTGCATCATCCGAAACCAAACAGGGCGATTCAGCTGGGAACTGTTTCCGAAGCTGTGTGGTAAGCGACGTTCGTACAGCAGTCGGTGTTGAGGCGGATATGGCATTGCAGGTAATGCTCCCAATGAGGCCATGGAATAGCGGCTCGACTTTTGCGATCGTCGAGTAACAGTAATGAACAAGTGTCGCCCTTACGACAGGTTCCTTTCCCTCGACTCGCCCATGGATGGCGAATGCGCACTTGAAAGCTCACGAACGATGATTTCCCTGTTAAATGCAGATTTCAACTTGAATAGCGGTGGCAGCGATTTTGGACGGACCCATGGTGATCCCATCCTTGTGACGTCGGCGTATCCAGGCGCGTGGGCCCCATCAGGCCCCATAGAGACCACATTAATTTCCACAGTCCCGTAGACGGGTTTTACTGGAGCTGTGTCGATAGCAGTGGAAGGGGCAATGACGACTTGATTGGCTCGTTTCTTCTTCAGCTTTGACGTCCTCCTTCTGTCAGATTCCTTGCAAAATCCTCTCTTGTGTCCGACAGTATTTCATGTGTGACAGCGTTTTTCCTCGTTGTGGACGAAGTTTGGAGTTTTTAAATTTGTGTGTGCCATCTCATGAGACCGCTTTTGAAGAAAGATATAACCTTCTGAATGAAGGTTTGTATCGTAACGTAATTGCTGCAAGGTTTAGTTTTTCCTTTAGAAAAAGAAAGGAGATTTAGAGTTCGAACAAAACTTGGAGGATTTTGTGGAAGTAGGAATTACTGCGATTACTAACATCCTAGGCTCACGCAAGGACATGGAAATTCCTCTATTTAATTGGTGAAATTTCATGTTGCCTTGATTCCCTCCATCTGAGCGAGACAAAGCGCGCGGACTTACCGCTGTCCACCATCTCTCCGTGTCGGTGACGACCCATACATGCATAGATGATGGGCATAAGGCATGTGAAAGGAAAAATAACTTTCAAGGGTTCCTACTGATACCCTTTAAAAGAAGGGGGGGGGGTTTAAAAATCTTGAAAGTTGCGCACGCGCACGTTAAACCTGTCACCGAGCTGCAACAGTGGAGGGTGCATGGTTGCTTGTGGTGTCTATGGTTGAAAGATTAGCTTCTAGCACCAGTTCCGCGCCTTCTTAGAGAAGGTTAAAAAATAAACCTAAAACGCAGATGTGAACAGAAAAACTAATAACGCTTTTTTTCAGACGGGAAATTTTCTGCTAAAATCCCTCCCTTTAAACTATGTCTAACACATTCGAATCCAATCTGTGCTCGCTAGAAAGTCCAATCCAGGTGTGATGGCGATTCCGTGACACAGGCAAACGGAGAGAAAAACAGACCAGCGCGAGTCATCGCGCATGAGTTGAACAAGTTTTCGTAAGGAAGGAAGGTAACAAAGGGCCTCATCCTCACTGTAGTTTTTGACTGCCATAACAATGTTAAGTCTCTTCGCTAGTCAAAGCTCTCCAGGAAGTTTCATCGTGAAATCACAGCAGTACTGATGGTAGCAAGCAAGGGTATGACCCATATGATTGTTAGATACTGCACCACTGTACGTGCGCCCCTTATTCTGCCGAAATTACTCATTGAAGCGCTTAATCAACTTACAGCCTGAACCGTTAGATGGTGTACTTTGCTGAAAACAAGAGAGACGTGTTTCGAGATGGGTGAACTCACAAGAATCCTTTCGCGAATTAATAGTATCCTCCATTAAGTTTGATTAGTGCAGAAATACGCCCTTATAACCCAAAACAACTTTTAATTCTCAACCCCTATGTCTGCTTTTACCAAAATCAACCTAAGCATAACTTTTCACGATGCCACGCAGTTCTCGTCTGTCCTTGGAGTAGAAAGCTCATAATTCTGCTCTCCACAATGACGGACTCAGCAATCGAAGGGTTGCTAAGCAATTTGGTACGACTCATTGCGTTTTGCGCTAACCATTCGTCAACAAGAACTAACATAGCGAAAGCGAAATTTTTAACAAAAAACTGCACCACAACCATCTTAATACAATAAACGCGGGGTGTGTCTCGAAAATGGGCAAAAGAAACCAATACAGGCTTTTGCATCTTGTCTGCCTGAACCATCTAGATGTGGAACATCATCAGACACAGTACTAACAAAGACAAAGTGAGCCGGACCTGCGCTCATAGTCGGTTCGTCTTGGAGTGATAGGGGAACGCTCCAGCTGAATGGGAACAATTGTGGTTTCAGCAACCGTATGTAGCTTATGCACAGTCGAGCTAATCACACATTCGGGATGGTTTTATTCTGCGCCACCTAACCCCATATCTTGAATTAGCAAGGCGTGGTTCGCGAAAAAAACCAAAAATGCGGAAAAATCAGCGGACCAGGGGAAATGTCCGCGCTTCGCGGGTTCTCGGCCATCCAATTTTTACTCCATCCCGCACTACCGACCACCTCTATCATAATTCTAGTAGGCTGCCTTCTAATGGCGACTCTGACTTTAACCATGAGACACCGTTTTCTAGAGCTGCGTATTATTTACGCAGATGATTAAAAGGCCCATCAATAAGCCGCCACCATCTACTAGATTGCGTGATGTTTCCGAATGCGCATCGAAAATTGGATCGCGCATGGGTTTTCCGGCCTCAAATGAGAACAGTGAATCCGGCTTGTGATATCTGCCATTGTCGTAACATCTTCGTCCCTTGTGGGTGTGACCCTGCTAGCAAAAATGAGAGGATTGTTGCTAAATCAGTCAGCGATTTTGCCTAGCCTCGCCCGAAACTCTATTTAGAGCGAGACTGCGCTAGAATGCGTAAAGTCACAGGACGGTAGTGAACTGGCCTAAACGGCCTCTCTACAAGTGGCCAAGAGGCAAGTTGACATCGCCGTGGTCAGTTCTTGATAAGCGTTGAGAATGAATCGAAGCTCACCTTGATCTCAGATAGAGGACGAGATCTAGGCCACACTCTTAAATGGCCAGTCAACAAGGTGGCTGAAACCATAGACGGCGAAGGAGAAAGAGAAGGGATAAGATTATGGGGCCGCCAGAGACGCAGAGGGCTGCGGTGATGACCATCAAAATGCCCTCCGAAGCACATTTTGAAGGCGGTCAGTGCGACCCTTTACGTCGTTGTCGTACCTATTGAATTCATAGGAAGCAGAGCGACGGGAATGGAGTGTCGGTGGTAGGAGGGGAGGGTACGAATGGCGAGAGCGGCACTGAAGCTATCGATAATATTGGTAGCCCTCTGCCAATAAAATGATCAGCTGTTTCGTCCTGTAGTCCACTTAATGGTTGTATAGCTGTATAGCTCCTTCCTAGGACACGGGAGCACCCTGGACGAATCGATCTGATTAATCCCATAGCACGGACATGCAGCGTGTTCTTTCCACGTGCATGGCGCACCTCAGAGCAGAACACTCTACTCCAGTAGTGTCCATCTGCGACTGTTCACGTACACAAATATGCTTCTGAGGAGGACCACTGTCTTCAAACTGAACCTCTGTTAGTAAAATAGTGACAACTTCCACAAAGGTTGTGCGATCTAACGGTATCATTACTCCCCATAAAATTGAGTTTGAAGAGAACTGTGAGTGCTTGAGTTCGAAAACTCGTGCTTTCAGTAGAGTAGCTTCAAAAATTCATGAAAAAAAAAACGGTCCAAAGGGACGTTGTGGAATCTAATTCAAAGTATTCATTAGAAGCATAATCTTCTAAATCTCTTTCAGGTACAGTAATTGCAAAACATCGAATCTGAGAGAAGCTGCGACAAGTTTTTTAAACGCCAAAAGACCTAGCCACTGCAAAAACGGTCCGCGAATTTCCCGAAACAGTCCAACGGGGCGATTTTTCGACTCATCAAATTTGAAAAGAGTCCAAGTATTCGTTGAGAAGCTCTAATCTTCTAGTTCATCCCAGGGGTCAATAATTTTAAAAGGTTTTTTGCGGAACGTTACAGTCAATGAAAGCCAAAAAACCCGATCCTGAAAAAAAAACGGTCCAATGGGGCGATTTTTTGAGGAAATGAAACATTATAAAAGTTCGGAGTACTTTTTCGAAAGAAAACGATCCGCAGTTTAAAACCTTGCGACCACTTACCACACCTCCTTATTTCGAAAAAGATCATAACCTTTTAAATGAAGAAGTGCGCATTTCTGTGGATTCTTGATTCTCTACCCGATAACTAGATGTTGAAGAATACAGCGCATAAAATGTGGTAGTTTTGTGGAACTAGAGTTTTGAAAAATAATGACGTTGAACAGATTTACACTCATTTGAAAATTATTAGTTCGCCTCGGCCTATCCGCGTTGGGCCGAGGGAAGATTGTGACCGCGCCAATGCAAGCGGGACGCTACCGCGCTCAATATGGTGTATACGCTCGAAGAGTTGTACGAGTGGTACGCAAACACACACAATTACCAAAGTATACAGTATATGAAATGTATTGGGGTGGCGTCGCATCGAGGCTCGGCTAATGAGGTTGGGTGAATTCGAAATTGGTCCAACGTGAAGGTTGACGCTGTACTAAAGCTTTATCATTTCTGAAGTGCGGCAGTGACATTCCAAAAAACGTCCATGGCAATATGGAGCTTCTGCAGTCTCTACTTCGTTTGCTCAAGCACTTTTTCCATTTCTACTGCGGAAATTCGCATGGAAATTGCCTAGTCAATTCAAAACAATTGTCATTCATGATGCATGGAATGTATAAAAGAAATGAGCCTAGGTTATTAGTCGCGAATGTACCCCTACTTCATCGCGTTCGGTGGTGGAATTGCGTCTCAATTACCTCTGGAACTGCTATGTACTCTGCGCAACCCATTTTAGTAACTAGGTAGTAGACGTGTGCACTCAATTTTCTCCGTGCAGCGTTTATCTTCCTCAGAAAGGTCGATTAGTGTTGGATCCGTCCAAATGTTTATGCACTCATATGAAGCCTTACTGAGAGCGCCCTATCCTATTATCGCCATGGAAGCAAATAATCTCTTCGGATAAAATCGTACTCATGACTAATCATAACTCTTTGACTAGTGATAATTCACTATTACTATGCTTTTGAGAGAAGCCACATCAGCGTCGCTCTTGGTCAAAGGTCTTATTACAATAAGGCAATAGCGAGCGTTGGATTTGCTATGGCATCGAAAGAAAATGCCTCCGCTTCTCAAACTCGTTTCTTTTCTGTTCATTCAGAAACCAACTGCACAAAATGGTATAGTGTATGGTAGCACGGTTTTGCTCTCTGGTCCCGAGAGCCTCGATAGGGCCATTAAGACAAACCACGATCCCCTTTGAAGGAAGATTTCGATGAAAAGCCACCCTAATAGAAAACAAGGTAGAATGGTTAGTGGTGAACGATGAAGAAAAATCAGAACAAATCAGAATCATCAGAACAGAGCCCGAGAAATAAGACCCCTTACCTGCCCGTTGATTTCACAA